CTGCCATGACAACCACACTTTCACATTAAACATAGCGAGTTTACATGATCAGATCACGACACATCGAATAGCGTTTGAAACTGTTCAAAGTGCAAGTTAGATATTATTTTACACCTGAAATCTACTGCAATGTACAGAAATCCGAACAAAGTGCATCTATACCTGTCGGACTGCATTCATATCTGGAGCTGACGCATGGAAACGTGTATAGTATGTGCTAAATGCATCAGTGTTTTAACTACACGCAATGGGATCCGACCTGTGAGTTCAGCCTCATCGCTATAATTACTGACAGGCTTAGTGCAGGGCTGGTGTTAGTCACGTGGGAGTGATTTAACCCTGAAAGCTGCTGCTCCAGTCATGTTACAACAGGGGTGCCCAACCCTGGTCCTGGAGAGCTATCTTCCTGCAGAGTTCAGCTCCAACCCTGATCAAACACACCTGAACCAACTAATTAGGGTCTGAAGGAGCACTTGATAATTACAGGCAGGTGTGTTTGATCAGGGCTGGAACTGAACTCTGCAGGAAAGTAGATCTCCAGGACCAGGGTTGGGCACCCCAGGGTTACAACAATGGTTTCAAGCAATGTTCGAACTATACCATGGACTTCGGGGGAGCCCTCTTGTTTTTTTTTTTTTTTATGGGGGGTGGGTTCGTGCGAGGAGGGCTTACAATGACTTACAAAGATACATAACAGCTACAAGTGTATGCACTACTTGCTTTATGCAAGCACTATACAGGATTTACCCTATTATGCTTTATCGACACCGATTGATAGGTGAAACAGCCACCCACAAATGGTCTATAAACAAAGCATCAGGCTGTCTTTGAGTTGTTTCAAGTACAGAAGTGAGTGAGTGGGTGATGTCTGGTTTCTCCAGCAGCTCTAAACCTCAAGCGCCAAAGGTTCCTCACGGGGCGCCCAGAAAAACACCCACAGAGGGCGCAGAGAAAGCAGGGGCCGCAGCCCTCGCCAGGATCGAGCAACAGCACCGACCAGTGTTGAAAACGTCCCAGGATGCCATAAGGAATCAGGGTAAATTATTTGATTTTTCACTCATGAATCTGAAAGTATTAGCGAATATAGTCAGTCATTTTGTCGTTGTATTTCAGTGAAGCGCGAACTTGAAGCAGAGGCGGCTGCCACGGCTGCCAGCCTGAAGAACACTGATGTCGAGGCAAGTCTGACTACTGAAGAAAATGGTTTTGCAGATATATTGACTGAAAGTGTCCGAAAATAGAGGGGTTATAGATTATGTGACTGGTATTTGGTCATGTGATTTAAACATGGCAGCTACCATTAGGGTGGACCACCCTTATGCGGAATAAACCTTTTTCTAGGCTACTTATGTGACTGCAGTTTTTATTTAATGTGAGTGTACATAATTTTAAACATTCTTTTTGTCAAATGTATTATTAATTAATTAAAACTTGTGAATAGTGTAAAAATAGCTTTGGGTACCATTAAAGGAATAGTTATTGTAAATAAATTTTAATGTGATATTTAAAATGAATTTGTATTTATAAAAATTATTTAAAAAAAAAAAGGAAAAATTAAAACAAAAATCATCCCAAAATAAACAAATGCATTAAAATGAACTTACAAATAATATAAAAGTAAAAAA